TATCCTCCCAGACAAGTCTGGTACCAATTAACCGACCCCGGAGGGATGGAAGGCTTGGTTGGCCCGGGCGACTCACAACCCAGGATTCGATCCCCCGATCACGCATGGTAAGCAGCGCCACTTGCTACTACACCACTCCACCCTCAGATTGACGTCATTGCGCGTAAATGGTGAATAAATTTGGAAATAAACTTCGATTAGGACCAAGAAATTCTTGAACTGCGTGGGCAATGTGGCTACATCCACGGTGAGATGGCGGAAAGCTACCAAGAAAATGTATTTTCCGCCATTTATCGAAGAACCGTGAGAGTCGGTGTATTTGCAAGTGGCGCTCTTTTCCCACGAGCGCGGTATAGGGTCAAACCCGTCAAGGCAAACCGAGCCCTCCATCTCTCCGAAGCCGGTCAGAACTGTCTGATAGGATATAAACATCGACTTGTACATTGGCTATCCCCGCATGCCATTGCTCAGGCCATACCCCATTTTACCTAGACGTGGCGCATCCCAAAAGAGACTGATCAACCCCGAACACATTACCCTTTATCCTCTTTATGGAACACTGCCAAAATTATAGTTCTCGCCACCTTCTCTACTAATATTTCCATTCTAGAAATAAAGAAATACTAAATTAAATGTGTTGCAAATGCGAAGGAAATGGATTGCATTCTTCTTAGAAATATTCTCAAGTCAGAAAAGGCATAGCCAAAGCCATACTTTAGCATAATTATTGAGTAAATGAAATAGAGACCGTGGGGATGAATGAAGGATGAGAGGCGACTTGAGTGCACCAGGCGTTCGACAATGTACAAATGTGTTCGCAAGTAAACATAGCGACCGCGGCCGGGTGTGATATTTGTGTTCCCGAGCCTCTATTGTCTTGAGGAACCGCCTCGTGCCCTTCTTCATCACGTTCCTACGGTCTATTGTACTTAACGGTTCCGTACATAATTTCACCTCCAACGTAATCGTCTATTACCGATTGGTGCTAAACTGATGGATGGTACAGTCCTCATCTTGCTGTCTGATTAGGCGTGTCTATGGATTTGACGTGGCCGTCGCCGCACTTGATAGAAGTCGTGTGGATAAGCTGTTTCTAACATACTTGGCTGGATATCAGCAAAGCATGCTGGAAGCAGCTTATCCGCGCAACTTCTATCAAGTGCGGCGGCGCCACGTCAAATGCCTCCACAGACACGCCTAAACAGACTTCGAGATATGGACTGTACGTAGCGGGACGAGATGGGCTGGCAGAACGACACACAAAGTCAGTGGTTCAAATAGAAGAATTAAGATAGAAAACACTAAAAAAAACCTTACTCAAAAGTGACTTCTAACCAGGAAATGCTTTGAACTTACCATGGAATGGAAGGAAACCCTAATGTATCGATAGAGTCTTGAACGCTGATTACAAATATGGACACTAAAACTGCTACGTGAACTTCCTAAGAAAGTTATGAGCCTTCAAAGTTGGCAAAAAACGTTACTGAGGCGAGCTTACCTGGTGGAATCACAGTCGCCGTGGCTCTGCGCCAAAAACGAGTCTCATATTCGTAATCAGGGCACCCATTTACCCTTATAGAACAAGTTCCAGGCAAAAAGCAACCGTGTTTCCACATAGGTTGCACCTCATCATTAGCGTTCTTTTGCAACTTTTAAGGCTCACAACTTTCTTACAAAGTTCACGTAGCAGTTTTAGTGTCCATATTTGTAATCAGCGTCCAAGACTCTATCGATGTACCTAGGTCTCCTTTCAAAGTTCCATGGGAAGTTCAATGCATTCTCCTGGTAAGTTAGACTCGGCTAAGACCAATGCAGGAATTGAGAACCCCATTTCGCTAGCTTCCGGCAATTTTTTTTTGCTTTTTTCGCCACTTGCGCACAATTTAGCACCCCTACTCAGTTCTCAACCAATTTATCGTAGAGACTGCCTTTGAGATTCATTTTTAATCCACAAACAATTACAGGTGGTGTACGACTAAAATAAACGACTAGAGAAGTTTCTTAGCAGCTTCTCTCTTCTTTCGACGATTCTCTGCTTCTTTCTTGATCACCTCTTTCTCCAGATACCACTGTTCCTGCAATCCGTTGTACATTGATCGTGACAGGCGTAACAACTAGATGGGAATTACTCACTGCAACTTGTTCTTTACTTTTTTGCTGCCTGTCCAACTTCTCTCGCCGAATCACTGCATAGTACCTGAACAGTCAAAGCAATATCCTTCTTTACTACGGTCCTAATATTCTATCGCCTACTATCCTAATCCCCCAAGTCGCAAACTATGAACGCGACCTTATTGCCTAGTCGTCTGCTCGCCTGCTCGCCTAATCGCCTAATCGCTAATCACACGTACGATCGCCAACTCTGAAGGCACCATGAGGTATACCTGTATGAAAGCACAGTGATGTTGAAGCAAATGGTGACTACCAGTGCAACCAGTACAGTATGAAACCATTCACTTTTCGGCAGGTCACGTTCATCATCGCCAAGCATTCGCACAGATCC